CTTCAGTACTTTAGAGACGTCACTACTACTTAACATTATATCTTGGACTACATAAAAATTACTTAACACAATGTACATATTGTAAAATAGAAAATGACAAGTAAGACATCATCAAAGCTAAAACCATCTGTTTATAAATTATGATTTAAGTCACATTCAGAGAGAAAAAATATGTAATTATATATATGTGTGTGTGTGTGTGTGTGTGTGTGTGTGTGTATTTTCATAGAATTTAGTTACTTCACCATTTCTTCTCTTCGTTTTGGTTTCTCAATGTTCTAGAGTAATTTTCAAAATTTCTTCTGACATTCATTTTGTTTTCTTTCTCCCCTGTTTTTGTAATGACGTTTTGCTTTCTTCCTGCATGATATACTCAATGTCATCCCATAGCTCACCTTGTGTTCGATCATTAGTGTTCAAAGGTCCAGATCTATTCTTGAGATGATTTTCACGTTCGGGTGGGAGAGACTCAAGGACATGTTTTGGGTTTTGTGGCTTTTTCTTCAGCTTCAGTTCGAACTCGCACACAACTATCTACCGGTCTGTTTCACAGTGAGCACCTGGCCTGCTTCCGACTGGTGATATGGAGATCCTCCAACAAGTCTTTTCACAGATGTAATCAATCTGATTCCTGTGTAGTCTACCAGGTGAGATCCACGTGTATAGCTGCCATTTGTATTTTTTTTAAAAAAAGGTATTTGCAATGAATAAATCACTGATTGTACAAAAGTCAAGTATTCGGTCTCCAGCCTCAATTCTGTCACCAAGTTCATAACTTCCGACTTCCAGTCCTTTCTTTATTCTCAACTTTTGTGTTTCAGTCATTAACTATTAATGAATCAGCATTGCACGTTTGATCAATTTCTGACTATAAAAGTTGGTTGTCATTGGGTACTTGAGTCGGAACTGACCCATAGTTGACCCTCCAAGTGGGTTTTCAGAAGCAGTTAACTGCACAGGAATTGCCTGTTCTCCTTCTACAAAGAAGCTGTTGGATTCAAATTGCGTGCCTCTGGGATTTCAGCAGAGCTTCTTGCCACTAGGCCATCCAAAAATTTTTCATTTTTAACTTCAATTAAAGGTATATATATAAAATGAATAACAGTTGTATTAACAGGCTTTCCTCGTACGTGCATAGAGAGTAATCTCTTTTTCTTTATTAATTTCAATGAACATCTACAGAGATTTTGGATTTCCATTCATTTATTGTTGCACTTTTCTCCCCACCCACCCTACCCTTACCCCCCAGTTCGCTCTTCTCCTTGAAAAGCAAAAGAAAAACCTCCTTCATTGGTATACAATCCCCTCGCACACCCCCACAGCCCCACCCCGAGTATACTCCACTCTGCAACCCTCATTCCAGACTCTTATGATAATCATAATGACCTAAAATACATTTGTTACTTTTAAACTATTCTTTCCCTCATCGGCTTCAATGCAGTAAACATAATTTATCCAGTTATTCTCAGTCTTACCTGCACCCTGAGGTCAGCCTCATTCTACAACAGTGGCACCAGGCAGTATTTGTCCTTTTGTGACGGAGATATTTCACTCAGCATAATGTCCTACAGGGTCACCCATTTTGCATAATATTGCATGAGTTCCTTGTTTTTCAATGTAGTGTAGTATTCCATTGTGTGACTATATCAGAGCTTCTCTATCCATTCGTTGATGGGCACTTACGTTGTTTCCAACTCCTTGCCATTGTGAACAAAGCTGTGATAAACATGGATGTGTATATATCTGGTTGGATGTCGGTTATGGTCTCTTTAGGGTATATTCCCATTAGCAGAATTGCTGGTGCATGGAGAGTATTCTATTGCTCTACTGTACTTCAGGATGGATCCTAAAATGGTCTTTTTGATTATTGGAGAAGTTGGACTTTATGAAGAATAGATCAAGATTGGAGGAAGACTCATCAATAGCCTGTGTTATATGCAGATGAAACAACCCTACTGGCTAAAAGTGAAGGCTTAGAGTACTTGCTGGAGAAGCTCAAAGACAATTCAAAAACCAAATATGGGTAACATATCAAGGAATCAAAAATCCTCACCAAGAGGCCAACAGGCAGCATCATGATAGACAGAGAAAAGACTGAAGTTATCAATGATTTAATTTACTTGTATCTACAATTTCCTTAGCCTCTTGGGACTAGGAATCATAAGATGCCTCACATCAGTAAAATCTGCTGTCAGAGACCTCTCCAAAGTGCTAAAGAGCAATGATGTCCGTTTAAAGACATTGTATCTAAACCATGGGGTTTTTTAGTATGCAAAATTGAATCATGACTAAGGAAGATAGAAGAGAAGAAAGAAAAACTGATGCCTTTGACCTCTGGTTTTGGAGAAGAGCACTGAATACCCCATGGCCTACTTAAAAGAATGAACCTGTCTTGGAGAGAGTGTAATCAAGGTGTTCCTTGGGGGCCAGGATGGTGAAATGTTAGCTCACATTCTTTGGGCATACTGTTAGGAGTGGCCAGTCCTTGGAGAAAGATATCATGCTTGAAAATGTCAGCATTAACAGAGAAAGACCCTTAAGAAGATGGATTTATATAGTGCCTCCAACAATGGACTCAAGTATAGTGGAGACAGAAAAGAATGGGGTGAGGCTCAAATCTGTTGTTCATAGGCTGTTCTATGAGTTGCAGTCGATTTAATGGCACACAACAACAAGAAGCAGGCAGTTATTGTGTCATTTTGTTACCAATCACAATGTTGCTTTCTAGTGTTCAGAGCCAGTGATCTGAAGTCTCTTCATCTAACTTCTAAGAACATTCTGGTTGTGTTTTTCTTCAAACTGATTTGCTTTGTCTTTTGACAGTTCAGATTACATTCACTATTCTTCATCAGAAGATCAATTTTTCTATTCATTACTAGCCTCTTATATTATCTAACTTCATATGCATACAAAGTAACTAAAAAGACCAGTGCTTGGATCAGACACATCTTAACCATCAAAATAAATTCAAGCTTTTAAAAACTTTAAACAACTATTTTATAACTTATTTTCCCAACACAATTTTCTTTAAATTTTATTTTATACTAGTTTACATACAAAGTTCATATATATTCACAACTGTTATGTTTATATCTTGACTGCTGTTTGCATAAATGTTGACTGCTGATTCAAGAAGAATAAAATCACTAACAACTTCAGTATGTTGTTGTTTGTTATCAAGTCAGAAACAACTTATAGCTGAGGCAGTTAATTGCACAGGAGGAGAATACCCATCCTTCTCCCACAAAGCAGCTGGTGGATTCAAACTGTATGCCTTCTAGACTGCAGTGCAATTTCTTACCACTAAGCCACTAGACTGCCTTAAGAGTTGTTTTTGTGTTGTTTTTTTTAAAAATCTTTAATTTAGCAGTTTGTCAAGAAGTTTGCTAAGATGTAGACTACACCTTGTGAAATAATTTCACAAAGGTATATTTCCATTTTCCCCCTGCTTCTGAGCCTTTGTGCAACATTTCACTTCTATTTCACGTCTCAATTTATTTTGTCATTGCAATAATAATTAATTACCCTTTAAAGATCTTAAAAACATTAAAAATATATAACATATGCCCATATAGGTACTCTTTTTTAATTTGTTATTCATCTTTTTAATATAATCATTATTTGTGGAATCAAGAGTTTTTCTCCATTGCTGGAGAAATCATTAAGCCTTTTAATCAATGCTTGACAATTACTAAGTTTTCTGTTGTAGCTTTTGGGAGCAGGCTCTATCCTCCTGCCTTGTGTGAACAATGGATAAAGTCCCATCTAATACTATTGAGTGGTTTGTTCCTTGGCTCAGGTATCTCCACAAACATATGTAATAGCGTGTGCAATTTTCTCTTCACTGGTATTCTACTTGGTGTATCCTCCACTTGTTAGCCAACTCAGACTCTGAGTTCTGTTTCTTTTACTAAGAAAATTTGACAAGATATGTATTGCATCTGCAGCCTAAAATCTAACAGGAGTACACTGGGGTGAATTTTTTGACCCAAGTATTTTCCATTTGTCAAGGACAACTGTGTTTTGCTATCAGTTAATGTCTGTAGGACCCTTATTCCCATATATTTTTAAGGGTTTTTATTATCATTATTATTAGTATTTCAGACACTGCTGCTTTAGTTGTGTGCTGATCAGTCAGAATCAACTCATAGATGATCCTCCATCAGTTTTTCAGAGACTATAAATTGCATGGGAGGAAACTGCCCATCTTTCCCCTACAGAACAACTTGAAGATCTGAACTGCATACATTCGGGGTAGCACTTTAACTCCTTACCACTAGGCTCCCAGAGCTGGGAGAATTCAATTTAACTGGTGGTTGCCATTATATTTTAATTTTTAAAACTAGCAATTTGAATTATTTTATTAAAAGAAACAAACAAATAAAACAACAAAAAAGCATCTCTTTTTCCTTGCTACTGTAATTTCTGTATATAGAGTACATGTTACACTAAATGCCAAATGTGACATAGTGAGTCTTACACAACGAGAACTTCAGGTGAAAAGACAGAGAAGTTGGCTGTATCTAATATTTGTGAATCAAGTATTAAGATTTGATATGTATTTTTAGGCTGCCTCTTTCCTCCATATTTCAAGAAAGAAGGTCTGTCCCTTTGGGGACGAAACTTTCTAATAAATCTATCTTTACCACTTTATCTTTAAAAAAAAAAGGAATTGATATATATTTTTAAACACTGTCTCTTGCACCATAACTGAGTCAGTTCCAGTTCCGAGGCTGTAAATCACATGAGAGGAGACTGCCCAACGAGTGGATTCAAACTGGTAGAGAATTTTGGCCTTTGGATTAGAAATGCAAATTTCTACTGTCTAAGACATCAGAGAAGTCAAACAGGTAAGCCTATTTGAACTTATTTCTATATAAGGAGTCCTTAATTTAAGTAAAAAATTATGATTCTCTTAAAAAAAGAACCCTAAGTGCTATTACATAATACACCAACATTATTTTAAAAAAAAAATTTAAAATGATGTTTACTTATAATACCTTCTGTTGCCATGCCCCAACTTCCCATCTTCTGCCTCACCCCAAGAGTAAACTTCTCCTTCTGAAGAAAGGGCAAGACAATGTTTTCCTCCTGAGTTCACTGCTACTTTCTTAATAAACACATGCTGAATGGATTCAAGCAATGTTGGGGTAGATACAGACTCCGTCCCTCCAATTCCTAGTCTGCCCCCTGCACCGTATCCAGTGGCATACAGCTAAAAGAAGAGAAAGAATATAAACATCAGATTACCTACATACCTCTATGCTAAGTAATTTATAAAGTTAATGAGTGGTTTAGACATTTTTAATCACAGGAAAATAAAACTTAAATGAAAAACTATGGGAATGATTAAGCCTATAAATGTGTTTATCAAAGCTATGAAGAGGAAAGAAACATACTAGAAATCTCAAATTTATGAAAGGTATTTTGAAAGTAAGATCTTTTCTCCACAAAAAGAATTAGTGTTTTTAGAAGACCACTTATAATACAAAATGCTATTTTTTAAAAAATCCTTGGCAATTAATAAACACAGAACCATCCATGTATATAAAAATTACAGATATATTTAATATTTCAGCAAGCTAACACATAAATCACATGATTAAACATTCAGTTGTTAAACACACTAATTTCTTTTTACTTGAGATGAGTAGTTACTTTGGACCATAAAACATCTTTATTTTTTAAAAAAAAAATTAAAAAGCGGATCAGAGGGTTTTTCAAATACCTGGGCAAACTATAAATCAGTAAAGTGTAATTTTGTTAACATTTTCAAAAAAATTTTTTAACACTAGCACAGTGGTAAGAAACAAATGTTTGTGAAGAAACAGAGATGATGAAATGAAAAATAAACAAACTAAATTAAAATTTTAAAAAACAAAGGAAAAAAAAAAAGAAACAGAGATGAAATACTCGGGCAGCTCTAAGCCACATTTACTGTGAGAATGAAGACCCTCTCAGAACCAGACTGTCGACATCCCTCTGAAGGGCTGCACCATCACTGTGAAAGGTCCAAAAGAAATCTTGTGGAGGGACCTCAATCACATCATCTTAGGGCTTAGTCTCCTCAGAAAGGGAAAAGGCTTCACATTGATATATGGTAGGGGAACAGAAAGGAATTTGCTATGGTTTGCAGCTAAGTACAGAACATGATTACAGGTTTTACACTAGGCTTTCCTTACAAGATGAGGTCCCTGTACTCATTTCCTCATCAACCTTATAATTCAATAGAGAGGGTCTCTGGTTCAAATGCAAAACTTCTCAGGTGAAAATTACATTTGGAGGCTTTGCTTAAGACCCAGTGTTACTGGTTCATTATCACAGCCCAGAAAGATAATTCTTGAAGGAAATGACATTGAGCTTGTATCAAATTCAGCTCCTCTGATTCAACCAGCAAGCTACAACAGTTAAAAATAAGGACATCCAAAATTTTCTGGATAATATCTCTATGTCTCAAAAACAAAACAAAACCTCTTCAGATAGATAAATAAACCTGAAATGCTAGCTTCCACTAGCAAACACTGTAAGATGCTAAGGAAGCACTAGAATGGCTCCACAGGGTGTGGCAGGTGAATGGTCAAACGTAAACAGACTCTTCATATGAAGGTAAAGCTTCCAAGTGTAACCATAAATAAAAAATGAGAATAACCCAATAGAGAAAATTGTCTTCCTCACTCTTAACATTAAAAGCAAGGAGAGGGAAACAGTCCTGATTCTGAAGCCATCTTCCTATTGATTTTCTGTTTGAACTGTTGACAGGGGTCTAAAATTCTCCAGCAGAGGACTTGATTTACAATGTGACAGGTTGGTAGCAGCAGTACATAAATTCTCTTTGGAGAGTAATTTCAAACTACCTTCAAAGGATTCCTAAAAATAATTTTCTAAGTTAAATAATCAGCTCATTGTTTGTAAAAATAACACAAAAAAAGGCAGCACTTTAAATGAAAACAAGAAGAAATGTTCGACCGTTTTGTTGAAAGAAGAATGACTGAAAATATGCCCAAATAATAAAAGATTATAAAATCAGATGGATTAACAATTTAAGTTAAAAATTTGTATAACAAAAAAAAAAATTTGCATAACAGAGCATGATACAAACCTAAAGAAAAATTAATGACTGGATTATCAACCTGAAAGAAGTATCCGAAATACAGCAAAGAAAAATAACAAGGTGCATGTGGGGCCTGTACAGCAGTGTGGAAACAGATGGAGGGAACAACCCTGAGCCTGATGAGCACAGTCCAGAGTGAATGGAGAGTGAATGGAGACTCGGCGGTTGTTGAGGATGTGACTGGAAGAGTGAACTTTTCTCAGAGGAAACTGGACAAAGATATGATCATAGAACTATTCAAGGATCTATGCTCATTTGTTCAACAGGATAATGATGGACTGAAGCTTTCCATTGTCTCTTAGTCCCTTCCTGCTAGGATCTGAATTCAGTGTCATAGAGCATGAGCACAGGACTCAGAACAAGTGCATGAAAAAGAGCCTCAATGTACACAAAAAGAATAAACAAAAGAAATGTGAAGAAGACAGTCAATATGAAAAATCTACTGGAATAAATCCTTGTATACTAAGCATGGAAAATCTTTCAAGGATCTTAACATCTAAATATCAATTCAGCTCTCCTATTGAATACAAAACTCATCAATGTAAGGAATGTGGTGGAAAAAATCATTTCAATAAACTACTTTTGTAAACAAATTCTTATTTGAACAGAGTCACATATATTCTTAGATATTCTCACTTCTTGTTTTGTGCAAAACCAGCTGTTAGCTGGGATATCCTATGAAACCACAGCACTAAACTTGTAAATAAAAAACTCAAATTTCATAAGATGTCTGGTTATATATAAAGAGCCTCAGCAGTTAACTTTTACTTTGTTGCTGTCGAAAACTTACCTATCCCAGAACTTTTGATAATTCAACTTATAACAGGTACACAACTTACACAGCTATGCCATCCAACTCTTCATCAATATGACTTTCCCAGCACTATAAACTAAAACCCAGTGTTCTATAACCAACAGCTAGCTCCTATTCTACTGCTCCTTCCCACTCCTGGTAACTCTGATCTCTCTATGCATTTGCCTGTTCTGAACATTTTACATATGTGAGATCATATCTGTCTTTTTTATAATTGATTTATTTCATAGCTTCATTTGCCATGAGCCCAGAAAAATGAACAGTGTTCAGTTACGATTACTGAATATGCTGATTAAAAAGTCTATGAAGAATCTTAATCAAAAGAGAACAGAATTTCATCTTGGTATAAAACAAAAACTTTTATAGTCATGGAAGCTAGATGAACTCTCAAAACTATAGGTGAGCTAATCCTTAAATAAAAGATGTTCCTACATACACCAAAAAGCCCAAAATCTTCCACAATCAAAAACAAATGATAAACTGGAAAAAATATGTCAACACATAGGACAATGATCTCATTTCCTTAATATACAAAGGCCTCTTACAAATCAGTTCTAAAAGACCATTGGAACACTGGCAAAGATCAAGCAATTCACAGAAAAGACTGAAATGGCTATGAACTCATGAAAACACATCAACCTAAGTAAAAAATTTTTTTCTAACCAGAAAGGGAACTTTTAAAATACTATAGCCAAAGCACGGGGAAGAATTCAAAATACTAAAGAGTTGAATAGAAGATTTCAAAAGGCAGCACGGGATGACAAAGCAAAATATTGCAATGAAATGTGCAAGGAGTTGGAGTCAGAAAACCAAAAGGGCCGAACTCGCTCAGCATATCTTAAGCTCAAGGAATTGAAGAACAAATTCAAACCTCGAGTTGCTATAATCAAGGATGCTTTCGGCAGAATATTAAATGATCCAGGAAGTATTAAAAGAAGATGGAAAGAATATACTGAGTCACTGTATCGAAAGGAATTGGAAGACACAGAAGAATTTCATGAAACAACATATGAGCAAGAGCCTATGGTGATGAAAGAAGAAGTTCAGACTGCTTTGAAGGAAATGGCAAAAAATAAGGCTCCAGGAATAGATGATATACCAATTGACATATTTCAGTTAACAGATGCTGCCCTGGATGTGCTCACCAAGTTGTGCCAAGAAATCTGGAGAACGACCACTTGGCCAACTGACTGGAAGAGATCGATATTTGTTCCTATCCCAAAGAAAGGTGACCCAACAGAATGTGAAAACTATAGAACAATCTCACTGATTTCACATGCAAGCAAGATGTTACTGAAGATTATCCAAAAACGACCGGAACAGCACATCAACAGAGAACTACCAGAAGTCCAGGCTGGGTTTAGAAGGGGTCGTGGTACTAGAGATATTGTAGCTGATGTTAGATGGATCTTGGCTGAAAGCAGGGAATACCAGAGGAATGTCTATCTGTGTTTCATTGACTATGCAAAGGCATTTGACTGTGTAGATCATAACAAACTATGGCTGACGCTGAGAAGAATGGGAATCCCAGAACACTTGATCATTCTAATGTGAAACTTAAACTTGGACCAGGGGGTAGTCGTCAGAACAGAGCAAGGAAACACTGCATGGTTCAAAATTGGGAAGGGCGTACGCCAGGGATGCATCCTATGTCCATACCTTTTCAACCTATATGCAGAACAGATTATCCGGGAGGCTGGGCTCTATGAGGAGAAATGTGGGGTCAAGATTGGTGAACGATTTATCAACAACCTGCGTTACGCGGTTGACACAACCCTGCTTGCTGAAACTGAAGAGGACCTGAAGCGCCTGCTGCAGAGTGTCAAGGACTGCGGCCTACAATATGGATTGAGGCTCAATGTCAAGAAGACAAGGATTCTCACTACTGGAACAATTGGCAGCATCAGGATGGATGGTGAAGAGATTGAGATTGTACACAGCTTTAGTTTGCTTGGCTCTGTAGTCAACAGTCTTGGCACCAGCAGCCAGGAAATTAAAAGGCGCACTGCCATGGGAAAGTCTGCTGTTAGGGACCTCTCCAAAGTACTGAAGAGCAATGCTGTCTCTCTGGAGACTAAGGTGCGTCTGATACAGGCTATAGTCTTCGCAATCACTTGTTATGCATCAGAGAGTTGGACAATGACCAAGGAGAATTGATGCCTTTGAGCTGTGGTGCTGGAGAAGAGTATTGAGAATACCATGGACTGCTAGGAAAACAAACAGATTTGTCCTGGAAAGGGTTAAACCGGGTGGCTCCTTGGAGGCAAGGATTCTGAGGCTCCGTCTAACATACTTTGGACATGTTGTGAGGAGAGACCAGTCCTTGGAGAGGGACATCATGCTTGGGAGGGTGGAGGGACAGCGCAGGAGAGGAAGGCCCTCTATGAGGTGGATTGATTCAGTGACTGGGATAATTGGGATGGGAGTGTCAGAGACGGTGCGATTGGCACAGGACAGAGCGGAGTTTAGGGCTGTTGTGCATAGTGTCGCTATGAGTCGCAAGCGACTCGACGGCACATAACAACAACAACAACATTATCATCCAAAGTCTAGAAGGAGCTCTTTTGGAACTGTGATTATCGCTCCTCAAAGCCAGTAGGTTTGGTGGGTGTAATCCATACAGAAGTGGACCCCACATCATACTCCAGTGAGCAGCCTGGGGATTCAAACAGCTGACCTTTTGCTCAGCCACCCAGCATTTAGCCACTGAGCTAACAGGACTCCTACACATAACTTAGCCATTTATTTGAGTGAAAATATCAATATGCATAACAGTCTCTATATTATGCCACTCCTTTGTGAAAATAACTGTGAAAACACCAGGTGTTTCAGAGTAAAGGAGATTGCCAGAACTAATTAAACAAAAACAACAAAAAACAAATGTTCCCTAAAGTTGTCTAAAAGCCTAACAACTATTTGGCCTACTTAGTAAAGAATGACTGGCTTGAGCACGATGCTCTTTTAAGAACTATTTGTATAGGATCATACAGCAATTTGAAATAAGAGACTGGTAACTCAGCAGGCAGCAAATTCAGGTAAGTGGGGAGGAAAATTAAGAAAAAATTAGTGAGAATGGTCGGTTGCAAAATTTCAAGCATGCAATTGTCAATGTCCCTGAGGTGCAGTGACTTCTATCTAACTGCAGTTGTGTGCTGTTGAGTCAGAACTGACTCACAGCTGAACCTCCAATGGGTTTTTCAGAGGCAGTAAATTTCACAAGAGTAGAATGTCTATCCTTTTTCCCTAGAGTAGATTCAAAGCATGTGCCTTTGAGTTGGCAGCATAACTCCTTATTCACTAGGCTACCAGATTATCCGACTATCAGAAAAACTGTCATTTTTTGACAATAAGTATCCAGAGCTGGTGCTCAGTTCAGTTTTCATGAGATGTCAAACCTCACTTCATCAAGTGCTGGAAACGCCCTATTCTACCAGCAAGCCACCTGCATGAACGTTCTCAGCTTTTTATGCTATGTGAACTAGGAAATCCACTGTACCATCTCCTACCAGTGTCTTGCCAATTTTCTGCCATTGCTTTTCTGCTGCTACTTCAAGCTGTCCCCCATGATATGTAGTATTAATGCTTTCTGACGCCTGGGTCAATGAGGTCCCAGCACAAGGACCCAGAATCCAAAAGATTTCCTATTACCTATCCTACTGGGCTAAAAACAAGCCACCCAAAACAGAAGGGGGCTATCTCATTAACACCAAGAATAAGAATAAGAAATGAAATACATCTTCTGGAGATACCTGGAAAGACCTGAAAACAGTCTTCAAAATAAATATTTCATGAAGAACTGAGGCCTCAGTTCAACAGTCATATTACCATAGGAGCAAGACAGGATGTGTATCTTTGCCAATATAGCCCTGAGATGACAGTAGCTTTATGAAAAGTTTGTGCTGAAGAGCCCAGCTAACTGCACCCAAAGTCTTGATCAAGAGAGACTGTGTGTAATGCGGGCTGCTTTAAATTAAGTTTTAAATCATTAAATAGGTAAGTTACACAGTACCAACTCAGAAAAAGAACGTGTCAGACAAAAGGAGTATTCATGATTCTCTGTCTCTTACTGACTGTTGCCTCCACTGGACATGTTGAGTTAAAAAACTGCATGAGAGGGGGGAGCTCTGGTGGCCTAGTGGCAAGAAGCTGCACTGCAATCCCAGAGGAACACGGTTCGAATCCACTAGATGCTCTGCCGGAGAAGGAGGCGCAATATCCTCCTGTACCAGTCAGATCTGATTTAACGGTACACGCACACAAAAAAAAAAAAAAATAAATAAAAAAAAAAATTAAAAAAAAAAACTGCATGAGGAGGGGAGGCCCAATTTTCTCCCTTGGAGTTGCTGGTGAATTGGAACTGTCAGGGAGACATGGTCTTTGATTTAGCAGTACAACTCTCTACAGACCAGGCCATCAGAGCTCTCTTCATTTTGTGAAACAATTTCCCCAAAATTCGAACTAAACTTTTACCAAGTAACCGACTGAAAATACCTAAAACTCATTTTAACCAGGCTAGGTTTATCCTAAAAATAAAGGTTGTTTAATATGAAACCATTAACAAAAAATATTTCAAGAACTAAAGAGTGACATAAGTCAACATCCATTCATGAAAAGAAAAGGAAGAGAAATTCCCTAATGTGATAAAAATCATGTACCAACACTCCATGGCAAAAGTTGTAAAAATATTCAGTGTGTTCTTCACCATCTAAATCAAGACAAAGAACATGCCATGTTCTACTCCACAGTCTTACTCAGCATTGAAAGCTCTCTTCTGCTTCCAAAGAAGTGAAAGAGACAGAAGACAGGAGGACTAAGAAGGAATGAAGAAAATGAATTTACCCAGGAAATGTTATAGTGAAAAACGTAACATAAGGTCACTGAATATTTACTGAGATCATGTTAGAAAAAGAAGAATAATTAAGGTTACTGAACATAAGTCAATATACAAACATCAATTTATGTACACCAACAGTAATGCATTTTTTAATAAAAGATGCCATTATTAATTGTACATACTAGAGCAATGGGGGTAGGTGTGTCAGAGTCAGTGAGAGTGGCTCAGGACAGGACAGGCTTCAGAGCTGCTGTACAAAGGGTCGCTATGAGCAGCAGGCAACTCGATGGCACCTAACAACCACCACCATTATTAACAGCAAACCAAAAGGAATACATGTAATAAATAATATGCAAATAAAAATTATGTCTTTGTATGTATGTTGTACTTTAAAGTTACAAAATATATCTAAAGATCACACACATACAAAATTTACAAATTTAACTGATTCAAGCATATCACAAGCACTATTACTCTTATTCTGATAAAAAGTCCTTATTTATATGATAATTATATTTATATGATAATTTATATGATAATATCAGCCTCTCAATTGTAATAGCAATGTGACAAACAAAAAAAAATATACCCTCACCTTTCCATCAGCTGTCACAGCAAAAAGAGTCTGTTCTCCTCCAATTAGCTGCACTGGTCTGAGAGTTGCAAGGGCTTCACATGGAGTAGGGACTTTAACTTTGGCACCTTCAATGCCTCCAAGCTGCCCCCTATGGTTATGGCCCCATCCATAAATGGTGCCACTGCCCCCAGCAGAGAGTGTCCAGTCATCTGGTCGCCTACAACAAGCATCAGGAAAACATGGGATATGAGAAGGAAATGTGTAAAACACTTGTCTCATACATACCATCATTTCTTGTTTCTTTCCTAACTACCTGTTCATCCACTGCACCAGCTGTTCATCTTGCTCTCTCTTAAAAATATCATGACTTTCATGGAGAATATCGAGGTTTTCACTGTCTGCCATTAACTCACGAATTTTCTTAGCCACCTAGATAACAAAATTGTGAGGTTATAAATCACTTACTCATCTCCCCAAGAATAATACATACATAATATTAATACAAAAAAAAATCCCTGCCTGGATGAAAATATGAAGGAAATACGCCTTTAACACTATGATTTCATGGTTAGGAAAGAAAAACAATGAGCTCATATTAAGTCTAAAATACTAAAAATTGTCCAGATGGTACTGATTCTGTTGCTTTACATTATTAAAAATAAGCTTTAGTCTTTAGTATTATTTTACCCATTTTCAACCATGTTTATTTTTTATATCATTCCCTAGCAAGACAAATGTCTGTTTCATAATATTAGCCCTTTCATTTTTCATTTTATCATAATAAAGAAAACATATTTTGCATACTAGAAAGGATTCCAAAGTAAGGTGCTCTACCTCCTCCAGAAATAGGCGAGGCAATGACATCCTTTTATCCAGGGCGACGGCAACTCGGGAAGCCATGCAGTACCTTCTGAACCAAGCCCATTTGTGCGTCTCAGCACAGCAAGGAAGAGTGTCTAGTTCCAAGTCACAAGCAAGAGCTACCAGTACCTACAGTCACCCAAAATTAAAACACAGGAACATTTAAAATACAGCCACCATGCCACTTGACCCACACAGCATGCAAGACAAATTATCATCACTGGAGCGACCACAGGGCTCTGTGGGTTCCTCATCCAAGAGTCCTGGTTCTGTACTGAGTCATGTGCCTCCATGAGTGATAAGAATTGTCCTATAGAAGCCAGGTCTAGTGAGATACTTAATACACAGGACTTCAGATCTGAAGATGGCTATAATACTTACTGCCAAAGCCAACTAACAAGATGATCTGTGCATCACAAAATACACAATATTTCTTGACATTTGTATATTTGACACCAGCAGTACCTTTATGTCTGCCATCAGTGAGATCTAAGGGCTAGCCTTCCTATGGATTGACTCTCTGACAGCTGGCTCTTTATCACTTCAAACAAAATTCAAGTGTTACCTTAAAGAACGGGCTATGAAGTAGCTGTTTTCCACCTCTCACAATAGGATCCTCATATTCAAACTGCCTCTGTAAAGCTTCTGGAAGGCCTTTCACCAAAGCAGCCAGAGCACTGCCTGTAAAACTCTAAGAAAACAACAAGACTGTTTCCCTGGGCAAATGCTTAAAGGTGAGCCATGAGATAAAGCCTTGAAGGAAGAAAAGGGTAAAAGATAAGAAAAGATAAAAGGATTCATAAAAATGGGAATTACAGGGAAGAAATGGGAAAGTACAATTATACTATGAGTGTTGTAAATAACGTTATCAAATTAAATGGTATGAATGGCTGAATGCAAACCAATTTACTTTTGTAAAATTTCACTCAAATCATAATGAAAAATAAATTTCTGTTAAAGGAATTCAAATGCACAGCAAGTGGGTTTCTACAATGATCCAAATGTATATGAGTTTGTTGTCTCTCTGAGTCAGTTGTTTATTATGTATTACATTCTATATACACATATATTCATTCTCTTACAGGGAGCTCTGGGAGAATATATAGCTATGGTATTAGCTGAAAGGACACATCTCTCTGGTAGTTCGAATCCACTAGCTACTCGGCAGAGAAATATGGGCAATATCCTCCCTCCTTTAAGTATTCACCAATATCCTAAAATAGGCAAAAAAATAAATAAATAAATAAATAAAATAAAATCTAAAAAAGATAGGATGATCGGGAATAAGGGGAGTGTGAAAATTCATTTACATTATGCTTGGTTTTGATATCCATTCCTTGGTAACCATTCAAACTCTCTTTCTCACCTGCCTCTGCCTCCTGATCTGGTGCCTATGGTTGAAATCCTGTAGTCTTTTATTAAATAGCTTACTCAGCAAAAGAAAAGTGATGTGAGAAGTTAGACAAACTGTAAAGGAATAATAAACACATCCTATGTTCACAACGACCAACACAGTAATTTTTTTGAAAGCAAAACCCAGCATAAAAACAGTTTTCAACACAAAACAGAAAAGAACAAAATTAAAAATATGTCAGCACAAAGTTGAATTCAGTATATATAGAAACACAAATGCTTCCTTATGTATAAAGGAAACCTCCCAGTTCTTTTTAGTGACTCAGAAGTATCAACTATTAAAGCAACAACTCATTCTCAAAAAGGCAAAATACTAGAAGGTTAAAGAAAAGGTCCATACCAAAGCTCTTGCTTCTCCATCATTATCACCAAGTAGCCTGCTTATGTTAATGGACTGTCCAAATTCAGTGGTGAGCAGCTTCCTCAATCTTTGAAGGGCCCACATTCTATGACCGGCAGCTGAGATGAGCAGACAGAAAATTATTGAAAGTTTAAACACCTTCTCAACTAGTAGGGCATATATAAGATAAAGTGCCATTTACCTAAGGCACTCAGTTGTGCACATGCAGCGAGGGAGGCTGCCAGGCGAGGGACAATGCTCCTGTGCGAGGCAAGGTTCAGTCGGAAGTCAAGTAGACAGGTTACCAGGTCCATGGATGGACAGGAGAGGATGCAGCGATCAGAAAGAAGGTCTTTTGGACCTTTGAATAAATCCATATAAATTTCTCCATGAATGACAAAGTGAGGATGACAAGCTTAATGCAGAGTTAAAAATCCTCCTAATTAATAGTGGTTCCTTCATTCATTTAGAATGCCTCTATAGCACTGTCATTTCTAAGTCACATTTACAATCCACTTTAAACTCACATTTTAACTTTAAAACAAATGGCTACAGAATTGCAACTAACCCTTTCCACATAATGAAGCTGGACTGCTATTCTAACAGCCATACAACAGAAGCAATGCTGTAATTATGATTTTCACCTTTCCTTAGCAAGTCCTTTGGTAGAGTTTATTCTCATGGCAACAAGAGAACATGGACAACAGAGTACTAAATGAAAAACCTCTGTCCTGCCACACTGGTGGGGTAATGGTTTAAACTAAAGCTCACATTTCTTTACCTGCAGCAGGCATGATAGGATAGACAGTGAAGCGCCAGCCCCATCCATTCACAGACCCATCACTGATGAACTTCCACTTCAACTCATCCCCTGGGATCCGCAGCTCACTGGACCAGTCAGACCATTCACGGCCTGGTTCAGAGAGACATGCTCTGGATTAGATCGACACAGAACACATTCTTTTTCCTCTCTCTCTCTCCCACATACACATCCACTCACAGATACAAAGTAAAATAGCTCTCTTCAGGTCTAAAAGAGAAGTTCCTCTGGTCCAAGGACTCCTATGTCTGAGTTTACCATGACACCCACTCTTAGTCAATCAAATTCTAGCATATCTCATTCCTTCCACAACCACCCTCTACAACCCAGCTTGGTGTAAGCACTAGGGATGTGCAGAAAGCAGTCATCACTCACAGAAGTGAGCACTGCAGCCATCACGTTGTGTTCAAGCCCAAAGGAGAGCCAGTAACATTCAGGTTAGGAGCTGCAAGAATAGTTATAGGGACAATGTCTGATCTAGGAATTATCCAGGCAACAAGACTCCTTCCAAGTACTCCTCACAAATAGAGTCCAAGGACCTATGCAGCATGAAGCATAGCTAGAAACAGTCCATCCTAGAGAACCACCCAGCTTCAGAGGGAGAAGTGGGATGGAGGGGCTTCCTGTTAGAAGCACAAAAACGACACTGAATGACACACTGACTATGACCATCCTACCAGGAAAACAGTGCTCCTTCAGGACCACAGTAATTTTATCCAAAGGTTTACACCAAGGGTTTAGATAAATAATGTTTTATAAAAGTTATTGATATACAGTCATTTCTAAGGTCTAGTAAAGATTTCATGTTACACTGACAGAGATTTTATTATACAACCCAGTAAGTCTAAAATACTGATCATCTGGCCCTTTACAAAAGAAATTTGCTGAAGCCAGTTTGTGACAAGGATCAGCAAAAAATTATTTCTACTGGCTATGCCAATGCTCTATTAACCATAAACACAGAATAATTGTTCCATGTGGAACCCAACCCCCAGCAAAACCACTTAAAAAGTACTGTATGTCAGTCTTAAGAGCGGACAAGCTCTGGTGTCCCCACACGATCTGGCAGTATTCTCCAGAACTGTTTGGTGGAGGCTGGTCCTTGTGGGATGTTCTGCTCCCAAAATGACCAGCTGCCAAATATCTCAGTCACAAAAGGACAAATATTGCATAATGACACCGTTACAAAACAGGACTGACATTGATGTTGGGGGGGGCACTAAGAAAAGAGGGGATAAATAATGTAGCACTGAAAGAGATGAGGGAAGAGAACTGCTTAAACAGAATATATGATTAGGTGTTCTTTGAACAACAGTCCAGAATAAGAGCTGCATAGTAAAGTGGACTGGGGGGGTGGGGATGGTGGGGAACTGTAGAACAGTGAGAATTTTTTTTTTCAAAGAGAAAAGGGTACTAGGAGGGGAGAGGTGGGCAGGGAGGAAAATGTGCAACAATGAATGAATGGAAATCCATGCTCTCCATAAACTTTCACTAAAATCTCAATTGAAAAAAAGAGAACACTCAGGGACACTCAGTTGGGGTATGGTGCTGACAGCACTGGGATAATGATCTTTTTTATTTTTAAAGTGTACAGGTAAGTGATCAATATAATATACTGTACTTGAGAGCTAAGCATCTGACCATACCGTCCTTAAGGCTAAAAAAATTAAAGTCGAATATTATCTCACTAGTGTCTGAGGGCAAAGACACCAAGCACAGTTTGTCCTTCTACTGTATCACCTGATCGCACTGAGACAATCCTGTTGACACCATCCATCACAGTGAGTGGGTCATGGCGCCGTTCTGTGGAACACTGTCGGTCAAACTCTACCCTGAGTCCTTCTGCACCTGGAGAACAAACAAGCACACAAGGTGGTGACTAGACTAAGTCTCTACCAACACCATCAGAGATTCTTAAAGACTGCATTTCACCAAGCTGCAAAAATGACCTTAAGACTATGTTTGTAGCTAATAAAATGCAGGTAGAAAGGAATAAGACAAAAATAGCAAGACCTTAGTTTACCTCCTGCTCTAAACCTGTCATACACTGCTATTGTTAGGTGCTATCAAGCTGGCTATAACTCACAGCAGTCCTATGAACAACAGATTGGAAGCCTGCTCTATCTTGTACCATCCTCACAATGTCCACCATGCTCAGAAGTCCACTGTAGTAGTCACTATGTTAATCTATCTTATTGAGGGTCTTCTTCACTTTATCTGACCCTCTACTTTTCCAAGTATGATCTCTTTATATGTTATTGTGTACCACTGTGTCAGAACCAACCCAAGCTGACTTTCCAGTGGGTTTTCAGAGGGAGTTAATTGCATGGGTGATACTACCTATCTTTTTTCCCCAAAAGCAGCTGCTGGATTCAAGTTGCACACCTTTGGGTTGTCAGTGCAGCTTTTGCACTATGCAGCCAGAGCTCCCTACAATACAGACAGGGTTACTCCTGCTAAGTGCAAGGCTTTGTATAATTTGTGCAATTTGCTTCGTACTCTCACTTCTGGATAAATGTTCCTTTTGTAGGCTTCTCTTATTTTAATACAGTAAGAAAAACTCAGACAAAGAGAGAATGGTCATACAACTGGAAATACGTAATCACTCTCACTGAATTGTACATGAAGAAATGTACACAAATGTTGACTTTGTGTGTTTTGTCTATAATCTTAACAAAAATAGAAAAATACTTCACAAAGGAAATGATCAATAATGAATTTATATTATAAATTATAAAAGTATAGCAGGGTTACTATCAAGTTACTCTGAATAAAAAAAATACTAAAGCAGAGGTAAAGAACAAAGTCCAACTTTTAATTGAAGGAAACTTTACAGAAAGATAAGAACCACTTTCATAAATAAAAATATCTCACATTTTACAATTACCCCTTAGGATAACTGGCATGAAATACAACATCTACAAATAAGAATGATACTGACCGAACAGGATGCTCCTGATACTTAAAGCATGGAAGTGGTTTTGAAATGGCATAATGTGTAGAAGAGAGAAGAATTTTAAATCCCCTAAAAGATGAGATTTCCTTGAAGAGACTGTCATGGAATTATAGGTATCAAAGACAATTCAGGTGAAGGTTCAGAAGGAAAAAAACTGAACACCAGAGAAAGCACAGATGATGAAAAGCAGTGGTAGAGAAAAAGCAGCAGCAGAACCACAGAGATTGGCATTGAGATGGAGACTAGCACAAGACAGCACAGAGTCCAATCCACAGAGCAAGAGAACTAAGGATCTTCAGGCAGGAGGCTTACTGGAGAGTGGAGTACATTTCAGCACTTGATGGAGCGAGACTTGACAGCCAATGGAGCTAGAAAGCTGCATGCCTTTATAAGTCAAGGCTTACTAGCTTACTAGTCTGAGTGAAGTAACTCTGAGTATTTATTCATAGACTGCAAGAGCACATGGCATCTGCTAGAGCAAGAAAGAGGCAGGGTTAGCCTCTTCAAAGCCAAGAAGTTTGGGAAGTGGAGCCCACACTTTATGGGGTCTCAAGTATGGAATGGCTTCTGGGTTATAGATTCATAGGTTTCAAACACATATACTGGATGACTGTCAACTCTGTTCTAGAGTGTAGGGCTATTAAGATAGAGTAAAAGACTGCAGCCTGCTGGAACCAATAAGGTGGAATCACCTGTCAGTAGGACAAGTAGAATGGGGCTATTCAAAACTGGAGGAAGAGGGATGGTCTCTCAGCGAGCTTGGAAGATGGCACTGAAGGCCAACACCAAGAAGCTCCCCAGCTGAGCACAGAGAACACAGTAAAAATCCATAGCTGGAAGAGCACAGCTACTTCCCAGATGGTCTCAGAGAACAGAGGATTGTTTTCAAGAACTAAGAGCTAATGTAAACTGCTCTGTGATACCTGACTTGCTTGGTGTTGGTTAGTCTCACATTTCCTCCAATTTTATCTCATGAGAGAAAAGAATTGAGGAAAGTTTTCCAAGAATGGGGGTGGGAAGATACGGGGGAAATAAATTTAGTACCACCAGTCAGAACGCTGACCCTTCATCATCAAATGAAGAGTGCATACTTTTGTACTCAAGTCCTTGGGAAGCAACTTGACCCCAAGGAAGGCCAAGACATACGGAGATTTTCAACGAAGAAGGAAGGGCCCACAATCTTCAAGAAACAAGAACTTAGGTAATTACCCAACTTGGGAGGGACTGGAGAGCATTATGCTGAGTGAACTCAGTCCCACAATGATAAATATTGTATAAAACCATTATTGTGGAATGAGCATAAGGATCCAAGAGGGGTGAGAGAGAGTGGAAGCAGAAGGATGAGGATGTGCAGGGGGTGGGGATTAATCATGAAGTTAATCAATTTGCGGTACAAACTGATGGCGAGGGGTGAAGGAAGTGGAAAAATTTGTTCTTGAAAACAGTGTATTCGAATTTTGCAAATAAACTAGTAGAAAATTTTTTTAAAAAAGAAAGAAACAAGAACTTTCAATCCATCTGTTTGTTGTTGGGCATTTGGGCTGTTTCTACTTTCTTGCTATTGTGAGTAATGCTACTAGCAACATAAGTGTACATGTCTCCATTCATGTCTCAGTTCTAATTTCCTTGGGATAGTCCTAGAAGAGGAAGAGATGGGTCATATGGGATTTCTATGTTCAGATTTTTGAGGAAATGCAAAATGTCTTCCATAGTGGCTATGCTATTTCCCAGTAGGGCTTTGTACTATAATTTTTCCAATTCCAGTTAGGGTTCTAAATCTCCAAATTTTAAATCAAGTCTGTTCCAGTTACACTTCATTGAGCTGGTTCAATATGTTCAAACCCCTGGTGCAAATGCTTAAAGGGTCTTTTTGTTCCCATGTGGTATATTCACAGATGGAATATTATGCAAGACTAAGAACAGCAATTTTGTAAAATGCTACATAACCATAGGAAAATCTAGAGAGCATTATGCTGAGCGAAATTACTCAGTCACACAAGGAAAAATACTACATAAGAACACTAATGTGAAGATAGGAGGATAACTGAACAAAATTTGTATGAATGTTCAACAGAGGAAGAGAAGAGAAACAGAAAAAGGGGGAAATTACTAGCATAGCAGATGTGAGTGGGCCACGGTGTGGTGAAGGAAAATAGGAAAGATTCAATGCGAACTTGAAAGACAGGATGATAAAAGACATAAATAGCAAATAATTATATTCTTGTTCTGTGCCATCGAGTTGCTTGTGACTCATAGTGACCCTATGTACAAAGAGCCCTAAAACCTACTCTATTCTGTGCCAATCTTATTTATTGTCTCCGACACACCTACCCGCATTACCGCAGTCACTGAATCAATCCATCTCATTGAGGGTCTTCCTCCCTTGCACTATCCCTCCACCCTCCCAAGCATGACATCACTCTCCAAGGACTGACCCCTCCTTGCAACACGTCCAAAGAAAGTATGTCAGAAAAAGCCTCAGAATCCTTGCCTCCAAGGAGCAGTCTTGATTTCACCCTCTCCAGGATGAACTTGCTTGTTCTCGTAGCAGTCCATTTAATACTCTCTTCTCTAGCACCACAGCTCAAAGGCATCAATTCTTTTATCATCCTTACTCATTGTCTAGCTTTCCGATGCATAGCAAGTAACTGCAGACCATGGCTTCTATCAGGTGCACCTTTATCACCAGACTGACATCACTGCTCTTCAGTACTTCGGAGAGGTCTCTGATAGCAGAATTTCCCATTGCAATTTGTCTTTTAATTCCCTGAATGCTGGTAACAAAAATGTTGATTGTAGACCAAGCAAACTAAAACTGTTAACAATCTCAATCTCTTCATTATCCATCATAATACTGCCAATCGGTGGTGAGAATCTTTGTTTTCTTGATGTTGAGCTTCTATCCATATTGAAAGCTGCAGTCCTTGATGTTCTGCAGCAAGTGTTTCAGGTCCACCTCAGTTTCAGCAGTGTTGTGTCATCCACATAATGCAGATTGTTTGATGAGTCTACCTCCAATCTTGGTATGACATTTCTCCTCAAAGAGCCCACCTTCTCAGATAATCTGTTCCACATTTAGACTAAAAAGATATGAAGATAGGACACATCCATGGCGCAAACCCTTCCCAATTTTGAATCATGCAGTGTTTCCTTGCTCTGTTCTGACGACTGCCTCCTGGTCCAAGTATAGGTTTCAGATAAGCACAATCAAATGCTCTAGGATTCCTATTCTCAGAGTCAGTCTCAATTTGATGAGATATACAGAATCAAATGCCTTTGCGTAGTCAATGAAACACAGATAAAAG